TACGGTTCTAGTTGAAGAGTTTGTAAATCAACATGAACCGAAGCCTGGCAACGCAATCGCACAACGGCACGTCCATTAATTCCACATTCACACACATGGATTAACATCGATTTAATACATTAATGTAGCCTTTGTTTCTGCTAAAAGAGGTGTGGACCAGCTGGGGCAACAAGAAAATCGGCGAAATCGAGTGTGACTATTAAAAAATAAATCATTATTATATTAATATTGACAATAACAACCGACCGTCGGGGTAGCATTTGCTTGGCATTTCCGGGTATTTCTCCACTGGTTGGGCCATGTTAACAATACCGTGTAACTGTCACGTTTGAAGGGACGAAATCGTGACATCTTCATGTCTCCCAGCATTTTAAATCTTCACATGTTCACGTCTTGCCGTGATACTGGGTTGTATAAAACATATCATATGTATTATTCTGAAATGGACCAATCTGCACAAAGACTACTTATACTTTTGCTACTTTAACTATATTTCGATGCTAATACTTTTCTACTTTTACTTGAGTAAAATGTTTTTACTCAAGTACAAGGTCTGAGTACTTCTTCTATCTCTGCTGAACTCAAGTCAAACTGTTTTTTAGGAAGACAGACATTAGTTGTTTCCATTTTCAAACAAACAAGAACGATCTTAGTGTGACGAGACTCAGTAGGGGACATGTGTGCAGGAAAACACATCAACAATACTGATGCTAAGTAAAGACAGCATCTGTAGAATACATGGACACATGTGTCTCTGTTACCCAGTCTGAAGGAGGTGAAGTCCCCCACGAAGTCCACTCTGGGCTGAGTCCCGCGGGTCACCAGCCTCAGGGTCAGGTAGTTTCCTGTGGAGAGCACCGGCCGGGGGGGGCTCTTTCCACAGAGAGGGGGCCCGAGAGGAGGCGACCTCCTATCACGTCCATCGTAGAACTGAACGTATGAGCCCGCGTGACACGGGTCCCCCAGACTCTCCCCGGAGGTGGGCTCCAGTCTGGGGTTGACAGGGGCGGAGCCACGAGGGGACTCTGGAAAGAGAGGGGCCGGGCTCAGGGGGGCCACTCGTAGCAAACTGTAGACCAGGAAGAAGCGGAAGTGGAACTGGACCTTGTCTTTGGGCGAGCTGGCCTGCATGGTGAGGTGGCAGTCCGTCCCCATGGTAACAAAGTAGTACTTCTTGGACTCCTGGTGCGAGTTGACGATCATGCCGTCACCGCGGATGTTCTGACCACAGAAGTCCACCACGTTCACTGACGAGAGAAAAACCCATGAGACACAGTCCGGAGACACAAGCTCTTACATGGAGCACCCTGTAAGAAAATAATCTGACTCTCTTTAAAAGTTATCAACAAAACATCTTCTGATCACAAAGGGTACTGTCTTTTGAATTCTAATTATTGGCAATGTAAAAAAAACTGTTTTCCTGTAATAAGACCATTTTGAAATGACAACAAAAACAGTGTTTGATGTTTCAAGATGACACTGAAATATATAGTACTAGCTCTAACTACTAGCCCTAACCATTGAATGTGTCTCTTATTATTCTAATTCTCATATTAGACTAATATGATATGATCAGTCTATGGATGATACATGTTAAAGTTTTTTTCAAGTCTGCGTCAAATGACTGGTATGACTAAAAGAACATTAAAACAGGTTTGGCCTCCAGTAATCAATCCCTCTGATTTTACTGCCCGTAAGGTAGCTGAGTAGATCTTCTCAGGTGCTATACTCAACTACATTTTAGAGGGACTTGTACTTGACTTCAGCATTTAAATGTTGTGCTACTTTGTACTTAAAGAGGTTAATGGTGTACTTTCACTCCATTACATGTATTTAATACCTTTAGTTACTTTACAGATGTGGATGAATGATGTGAAATATAATGAACTCTTAAATCAGACTTTAGTTCCACCTGGAGTAAATTCACAAGCTACCCTGTAGTATACAAAGTCATTCAAACTAGCTGCACCTTTATCAGCTTTGAGAACACTTTAATGATCAATCATTATAAAACATATCATATATATTATTCTGAAATGGACCAATCTGCACAATCATTACTTTTACTGTCGCTACTTTCACTATATTTTGATGCTGCTTTTCTACTTTTACTAAGTAACATTTTGAATGCAGGACTTTTACTGTAACAGAGTATTCCCACACTCTGGTACTTCTACCTTTACTCAAGTACAAGATATGAGAACTCCTCCCACCTCTGCTGGCCATTCACAGATCCCTTCTTTTTGGTGTCAGTGATTTCTAAAGTTTATCTGAAGACATTAGGGTTCATCAGGAAATGTGTTCCAAAGTGATGTCTCTTTATAATGATCTTATATTGTTACCATTGTAGCTCAACAGGGAAACACTGTGCAGGTCTTCCACACACTGATTTATGTACAGACTCACACACTTCAGTGTAGACCTGCTGATGGTTTTTGAAGCAGCTCACTGCTCATCCACAGGCAGGACCAGGACAGATGGGGGGGCAGGTCCAGCAGCTCCCCTCCGCCCCTTGCATCTGGGCCGCATGCCAAATAATGGGAACATTTACGACCACCCCTGCAGTTTATTGGCTCCGTTTCCCTGGGAGACAGCTAGATCCTCCTGCACTGACCTCCAGGAATGTCCCGGAGCCCTGGAGCCCCTGTTGGTGGGAAACAGCTAATCCCCTCTGCACCGCACAAGTAAATACAACCTCTGAAGCAACAGTGTGCACGGCGGAGGACACCAAGTCCCCAGTAAAGATTTTTGCAGGCTGAAAATTCAACCTGTTTGAAATAATTGTAAATAGAGTCCATTCCAGGGAGCGGATCAGAGGCGGGTTAGGGTCAGGGTCTGGGCGACACGCCGCAGTGAGAAATGTGTCTGAGCCTGCATTGTGAGGAGAAGGGCAGCAGCTCACTGTCCATCCATGTGCTATTCTAACTCAACTCAACATAGATTCCACTTTGTCCCTTTACACTGAAACTCATTTAGTCCTTTTGTACTCCAAGCTTAGTTTATAGACTGTACAGTGACAACAAGATAAACTGGTCTGAAAACAAATCTGTTATCATATCATATGCAATTTTATATCAATATTGTCAGGGGAAAAGACAGTAATATTTGTGCTATGATCTCTTTGGCGTTCTCTGTTAATCTGTGACACCTGGCACCTATTCTTAATGACGCTTCGGCTAAGAAAGGGCTTTGCCGATTTGTCTTTGGCTAATTTAGAACATAAGAGACTTCATCACAGTGATGCAACATGTTGAAAATCCCATCTGAACATAACACTGCTCACTGATTTGCAATATTGTCTGTGTGTGAACTACCTCTATAAACACAACTGGAATTCTGTGATGGATGACAAATGTCTTTCATCTCTATTGGTGTACAACTTACTCATAAATCATATCACTTATAACTTCAACATCCTTTCGTCCTAGCCAGAGTAACATAATATAATGACATAATATATATAATATAATGAGGATAGATTTTTTTTAAATCAAACAAATGAATAAAAACATGGTTAGTATAGGGACCTTAGTGGTCCTGCATGTTTCAGCTTCTGTACCACTAATCAGAAACGTTTCAGGAGTCTATTGTTGTTGGAGTTCTGTTGCTGGGAAAACTTCTAAATCTGCATTTAAACTGAACTATACCAAAACAATAATGTGACTCGGATTGCAAAGAGGTCAGAACTCACCTGTCATGAGTACATCGTCATCAGAAAAAGAAGTGTAGTCGGATGTATGGCATGAAACGGCATTAGTTTAGTTGTTATGCTGAAAACCTGCTCTTTAATGCTGCTTCTCCAGAGGTCTTTTAACTATTTTTTAACATTGCACTTCAACATTCCTTGCAGCATTATGGTATTAACAATGTCTCTTTTTAACTCATTTCTATCTCTTTTATGAATTGTCTTTTTGTTCAATTCATTTTATTTTTTTAATTGTTATGTGTTATTGCCTATGTAAAGCGGTTTAAATTGCCTTTGTGTCTTAAATGTGCTATATAAATAAACGAACCTTAACCTTATCTGTGTATACGCATTTGATGTATAGCTTACTATGCACAGCCTACGTTTACGAGCATATACTATATGTGGGTGGGTACTATAATATTTCAGTGGGCTATAGGAATATCTACATTTTCAAATGTAACAAAATTCACTAACTTTTCCCTTTTTAAACTTTTGCTAAAGAAACAGAAGCACGCAAACTTTCAATACAGCCACTATTATTATACAAGTATAGGCTACTATAACAACAGCTCTTCTCTACGCTGAGCGCCATCACGGACCTCAAGTCATCGTGCCCATGAGAAGTGCGTCACTTAAACACGATCAGACGTGAGGGTCTCTAGGCTTACCCGTCTCGATGGCCTCGCTGTGGAGCGCCATGCAGCAGAGCAGCAGCAGCAGCAGCAGCCAGCAGCTCTCCACCTCCACCTCCATCCTCAGGGGCCGCGCGCACATCCACTCCTCATCCGCGGTCACTGCGGGACACAGTGGAATATCTCGCTGTGAGCCATCATAAACACTCGCTGGCCTTTATTCCAGTTGAACCTCCCCTCGGCCCGTTGTCTCCATGACAACACCGAACCAATAGGCTTTAAGCCAGCTCGTGGACAAAGGTTTCCCTCCTGATGTAAACTTCCACATGTCGTCCACTCAGCTGCAGCTCACCATATCAACATCAAGTTAACATAATAGGAACATGTTACATGAGTACAGTTACTACACATGTTGAATGATAACACTGAGGCTAGTAAAACAAGACTCCAAACTGTTTACTCAAACTCATGTTATTTTACATAAAAAAACGAAGTTGTGTTTATCCATTTAATGTTGCTCCCACTAAGCAAGGGTTTTAACGATGTGTCTTTGGCATATTTAGAATATAAGGTACTTCATCACAATGATGCAACATGTTTTAAAATCCCATCCAAACATAACACTGATTTGTATTACCTTCATATTACACTATGGGCCAGGGGGGTGGTGTTGCTACATTTCATGGTCATTTTTATAAAGGTCTGTTTCCATGCTGTCACTGCTTTTCCATCCCATCATTTCACATTTCATGTTTTCACAGAATATTGTAGTCATATACAATAGTATAGCCAATAATGATTACAATACCAGTCACATGACCGGCTGTGGCTCAGTCAGTAGGGGCTTGGATTGTGAGCCGTAGGGTCGCTGGTTCAAGTCCCCGACCATATGGAGTGTCGTGGACTGCTACCTGGAGGGGTCCCAGTTCACCTCCTGCAAGGCACCGAACAACAATTTCTCTAGCTAACATGTTTTGATGATTGTTTTACATTTAGTGTGGACCAAATGTACAAGCAAAACATATTCCTTAACCCGCAGGTCTCTTGCAACAAGAGTGGTTTCATTGTTCAAAATATTCAAGATGCAATTATTACAATTGGATTTGTTATTATAATAAGTATAGTTTATCATTGTCATTGGCCCTCCTTACATGCAGTAACCTATACATGTCCCACATTGCTATGAACAGGGGCCTCAGCAGTTTGAACATGTTAGTATTGACATGAGTGGAGAGCAGGGGCGGACTGGGGGGAAAAAGTGGCCCGGGGATTAATTGACAGACAGGCCCACTTAATGCGCGGCATGTATCGGCCGGCCGGCCCAAATTCTGTCCACCAGCCCAAGCCCAATTTACCAGCCCAATGCAACCCAAACCAGCCCAATTGGCTGAAAACCGCCCATCTGGCAACACTGCCTGATGGAAGGGAAAGGGGGTGGTGGGTATTGTGATATCACTGATATGTGAAAGTGAAACTATCTGATGGATAGAACATAGGTAGCCTATCAAAACGGCCCAGCCAGCGCCAGCCAGCGCCAGCCAGCGCCAACCAGCGCCAGCCAGCGCCAGCCACACACCCCACTCCCAGGGAGTGGCCGGAACACAAATCCGACATGCCCTCCGGTGCACAGCACCGGCCCACCGGGAAAACTCCCGGTATTCCCAATGGCCAGTCCGCCCCTGGTGAAGAGTGTGAAACTATGACACATGGAGGGATAAACCTGGTACATATTGTTTTCATAGGGATTTCTTGAAGTTCTTAACATTAAAAGATAAACCCGTTTTGCTCTTTATGAAGGAACGACCCACAGGCACATCAGATCAGTATGACGTAAGTTATACGGGCATTTACAGAGGCATACAAGTACAATTCTGTTGTCCTCAGTGTCAGTGTAGATTATATTTTAAACTTTACAATACTGTTTGATCCCAGGATATTCTGTGGAGGTTTTACAAAGCTGGCTTTGTAAAACGTGATTACTATTATTATTATTTAAAAAATGATTACTTTGTGTCCCAAGTGTCTGTAGCACAGCAGCAAAAACCATCAAGTACCAGTGTTAGATCATATTCTGAATAGTTGTAGTTTGATATTAGATTTTTTGCATTTAAAAGAGACCAATGTTATTGTTTTTACTTTTTCAATAATCAGAAAAACTGATGAAACCAACAATGTTTTGGTTTGAGAAGTCTCTGATCCCCATACTCACTGTCGTTTCTAACACCACAGACATTAGCTGTGTCACCCCCCCCCCTCACATATTCAATCAGCAGAGTCGCTGTTCGAACAAACAGTAGCCTACCTGAAGTCTCAATGTGCTCCTGAGTGAAGAGCTTTAATCAGATATTTATTTATCACACAAACATCAACAAAATACCTCAAAGCTTAGCTTTAGGTTCTTTTTATGTGAGTCCCAAATTCACATTTTAGGACTTTGATTATTGAGAAATAAAATGAAACAAAACAGGTAGGAGTGATGGGTCAACATAACAAACATTTGAAACAATAACAAAAAATGAGTATCCATATTACAATGGCTTAATTAACTAAAAGTATCATCAGAGACATCACACATCCCGGCCACTCACTGTTTCGAACCGCTGCGGTCCGCCAGACGGTTCAGATCAATAAAATCACGCACCAACAGACTGAAGAACAGCTTCTTTCCCAGAGCTGTGACCTCCATCACTCCCATCCCTGTCCAACCACAAAACTCACCATAACTTTGAACATGCACACATACAAACACACTACCTCCCATCAAAGACTGCAGCCTAAAATACCATATGTTATTTATTTGTATATTTATGAAGTATCAAACTGATATTTTTACTATTTATATTTAAACATTGTAGCTTTTCTTTATTAAATAATCTTTAAAAATGTATTTTAACATTCTGGTAAAGTGTATTTAAGTGATGACCCTGATTTTTGCTACTATCTCTGCTTTATCACTGCTTTTATGGATGTGTTCTTATTTATGTACTGCAGTGAGAGATGCCAAATGAAAGCTCAGCGCAAGTTCAATCAGGAAGACCAAGCTCTTCATTCATATTACATGTCATTTCAATACTCTCTCCTCCCTCATTAAGTGATCGGGGTGTCACTCCCCAGCTAACCAATCACTCCTCTCTCCATTCTCACAAGCCTATCATTGCACCCGCTAATACCTTTAAATCTGCTCTTCCCTCTTGTCAGCTGTCATTTCAGGTGACAATACGCAGTGGCGTTTTCATATGTACAAAATTGGTGGGGCACAAAAAACTTAGATGTCTATATATAAGCTTCTGCAGTGACGTGCAGTGAGGTTCATAGCTGGTGAGGCACTGGCACTGACTCTTCAGGTTTACAAATATTATATTTTAACCTAAATCAAAATATAATATTATTTTCAAAAGCTTTTTTTGTCTGATGCTTTGATTAATTTTAAACAGACAGTTCAACAAAAGGATACCCAAAAAAAATTATTTTATCATTTAAATATTGAATTGTTCTCTCTTAGTAAGATCCCATTTTCAATAAAATTGTGGTCTTACCTTGACTTGAAGATGAAGTCCATTTGCCTATCCTTCTGGACAAAAAATCTCTATTACTTTTTTGTAAAAGTGCTCCTTATCTTCTTGTAGTTTCAAAAGTCTATCATAAATCTAATTGATAGATTTATGATTAGAAAATTATAAAAGTAGGATAGATGTCACGTTAGTTTTTTGTTGTTATAGCACCTCCTAAAGGCAACTGGCGTGATTGCAGCCTTTTCATGCTATTTTTGGATGTAGGTGTTTTCATTGGTCAGTAGATGTCACATTGCATGGTCACATGACTGAGTTGAAAGGTCAGCGGCCATGTTTTTCCAGCAGAACAGCTAGAGTGCCACATGTTATTGTACCTCCTCAAACATCCGGCTCCATCTGCTCATGTGGACCTTGGAGAGGCATTGTTTGTAAGTTTGATGATTCATCTATATTTATGGATATAATTTATGTTTGTATTTTATAGCATGTCATTGTATTGATTGCAATGCTTTGTGCTTTTTACTTTCAGTTTCACAAGATTACAACAATAAACTGTTTAACTATCTGGCGATGTGTACATCATTGCTACGTGCCCAGGGGCCAGTATAACTATTCTTGTTGTAATTCAAATCAGTTTACACAAGACATGAATTGAATGTTATCCTAACAGGATGTATTATCTGTCCAAAATAAATACAAGCATACAAACATGATTATACATATACTGTAACCTTGTGTACAGTAACTCAGAGAGAGGGAGTATTTCCGTGGTCTTAAATCTAATTGCAGAAGATTACAAAAAAAGGTTTTGTTAGCATGGCAGAAGACACTTTGCATAAGTAATGTTTTGCCACTAGCAGAAATTCAGGGGAAGTG